ATCATCACCATCATCATTGTTAGCTGTAATAACCGCGTACTCGTCGTACAGTTGTTGTAGCTGCCGCAGTTTCGTTCACCGATGTTTTTTTTTTTGGGGGGGGATAGGTACAGTGGGCTGTCAAGTGGGGGGGGGTTGGAAAAGGAGCTATGCATTGAAGGCAATGTCTTTACGTGAGTGCACCACAGGTTGTAGCACGGCTTCTGGGTTCCATATTTGTGTATTTGGCATCCGTCTTGACGCCCACCCATAGGTGGAAATATCTAATCCGGGTTCTGTTCATTGTTAGGTCTAATTCGGTTATCTTGGTTGCTTTCTCACTCCGCACTATCCTGTCACGGTCATTTCCAAGATACCTGTGGGGTTACCAGGCCACACAGAACCCAAGGTAAGGCCGTCTCGTACAAAGTGACGGGCCATTGGTGAATATGGTGTGAGAGACTGCCCTCTAGGCAACGGACAGAGCTTTCCTCTAAACGTGAATTCGGATTTCAATTATACAACCAGTAAAACCCGGTTGTTTTAGTCAACGTAACAGTTTAAGCCAATCGGGTAATTAGAACAGAGGTCGACCGATCCCATGTGTCGCAGACCCGATCAGATAGTGAACCGAACACATTTGCACAATCAGTGGATTATTAAAAGTGTGGTGATCATTGCTGTCATTTAAGAAAACCCCATCGTTTTGTGTTAATAGATAGGTTTTCCTGGAGTGAAGTGAGCCTTTTTGACAGATTTCCAGGAATACAACGCTTTCTATGGTAAGCTGTACGGCTCCATTACTAGATGGATAATATCTTCACAGGTCGTCGGTGCGGGCAAGGACTAATTACAAAGGAATGTGACTGCAACAGATTCAGCCGACCACTCAGTAACTGGTTTACATTTTTCACTTGAGGTTACCTCGTTGTATGACAGGCTGAAACCTGTACCGTCAAGCCTGAGATAAGTATTGATTGGTCCCACGAGCAACCACATGAATAGGCATCAGGTATCTAGCAACTTTGTTTAACGTAATTGCTGAATTTAGCCGATCGGTGTTGGTCACTCTAGCTATAATTTCGATATTTCCCAGAAGGAGAATTTTCACAATGAGGGCGACTAAATAGGTGGACTAATGATCCTGTAACCTCTTTGTTCGTATTTGATCAGTTTGCCACGAACTGACCTTCAGTGTCGCGCAGCTGCAGTGCAGTCGAGCAAAAGTATATAACAGGTGCTATCACACGGTCTACGGAAAGAGCACTACAGGTTTTTCCCGATAGTATCCAATCCATTCGACTCTGGGAAGCAAGCACCCAACTGCGAATAATTCATCCTCACAAAGTTTTGGCTTGAACGCCGTATTCGTGTTTTCCTCGCACACAGTAGAAATGAACTGTGTTTTTCCGGTTTTCAACTGGTGTAAAAGCATAGTAACTGAGGTGAGGACAGTCTACTGGGATCTGCTTCGGCGTGTACACAGGCCCCCTAGTTCAAACGTAGTGATGACAAGGTCGAAAGAGACGTTCATAGAGAAGTCCAGTAGTTCACTCCAATTCCGTTAGAACGTGCAGTTCTGATTCATGCTCACATCAACAGTTGAGTGAGTTACTGTATTTCTGAGAATACTTTGGCGTCGTATAGATAGACTGGTAATGCAGTGTCGCTCGGTCGCCTATTCCGATAGGGGACTGCAGTTTACCACAGGCTTACCTTCACTGGGCAGTGAATATGCTTGTTCAACCCAATGTTGCACCTCCGAGATGGTCTCGTTCAATTTTTTCACGTTGCTGGAATGTCACACTTTGGAATCCTACGTATCCCGACGGAGTGAACTGTGCTTCGCTCGGAATCGGTTTTGTTTTCTGGCAATTCGTATTATTGTCAATTCAATAACTCATTACTGGGCCCATTCGCGCTGTTTTAATAAGCTCTGAGGACAGAAGGAAGTTTTACATAATACGGCTGGTCCTTTCGCTAAAAGTACGTAAGCATACGAACTTTGTGTCAGTCTAATCGTTTAGCCTATCCAGGTAAACATTCCCCATTCCTGAATTGGACAGGGGTTTTCATTCATTTTCATTTCATTTCAGTTTTCATTCTCGGCGCTGTCCCCAGCCTAACGCCTTATCTCTCTTTTACGGCCCTCCACATGATGACACCTGCCGCAGTCCATTCGTATATCTGTGTCGTCCAATGCAAGAACCATACTCTCCAAAATACTTTTTCGGAGAAAGAAGGCCACTCTTCTTCAAAGCTCACAGTAGCGTTCTCTGTCAGGCACTACACCATATACGATCTATAAAGTTCAGCTATTTTTCCCTAGTTGAGACCGTCTGTTATCATAACAGTTACCAAGTGGGTTGCCGATATTTCCGGAATTTGCCTGCTTTTTTTCATTGTCGCAGTAGCCGTGTAAGATATTTGAGCCTCGTATTTGGCTGATACTATGTCTTGTGACAAATCTTGTCTAGGTGTTTCCGCATACCCTGTTTATTTATTTTTTACTAGCCCGCTCCGTATCCTCAGACGTTGATCAATACCCACCTGCGCTTAGAAAAGAGCAGCGGCTTAGCGATACTGATCCGGTGGAGTCAGCCGATAATTTGGAAGCCATCAGACTCCAGGAAATAGTTGAACAAGCAGATGCTAAAAAAGCCCAGCACTCAGCCGCAGCTTGGCAACGTCTTTTAAGCGGACCGAAAAAAGCTCCTCGATGTCGGGGGCATAACGAGCCGTGCGTCCTGCGTTCGGTGAAGCAGGCATCGACAACCTCCGGGAGCAAACGTGGAAGAAGGTTTTGGGTGTGCGCCCGACCCCAAGGCTCCAAGGACAATCCGGTCGCCCGTTGCAGTACGTTCATCTGGGATGATCAATATGTACCTTGAACAGATTCTATTTTTCTACTTTCATTATACAAAATTGTACACCGCAACGTCCCGCTACGTGCCAACCAGCTTCATGCATTACATTGCATCAATTGCATTTATCAGTTTTCTTAGTATCTAGCCTTGGAGGATGATTCGATAGTCGGAACTTATGGTGTGCTAGCTCACCATCGCTCAGTATGTGGGGAAGAACGCCTCATAAAATGCCAAAACGTTTGTGAGATTTAAATACTAACCAGCTGTTGACTCATGCAGATGGTCATTGAACTGTTATCAAGAAGAGCGAAACCGGTTGTGGGCTGTCGAAGAATTTTCAGCAACCTTAAGAGTAGTGTATTACGTCCATACATGTATCGCGATATCTCGAATATCGTCGCAACTTGTTGAATGGTCGTGCAGCTCTGTATCGGTCCCTTGGCTTCCTGCTCCGCCCACTATGGTATATCAAAAGGCATGATAGCTTCAGACAGCCCTTTATGCAGACAAAGGACGACTATTACAACTGTGGTTTACATTCACTGCGTATTAATATATGGGTCCATTTGAGACGCATTGTTGGCTTTGTGGTCGGACAGGTTTTTCTGCTTTCCAACAGTGGATAACCTTGTCACAGAAATTTGTCTGGTTCACTTGTGCATTCTTTCACTTTCTTGTGCACAGGACGATACTACAGACCCCCCAAGTTCAATGGCTTCTGATTTTTTGAATATATGCGTAAGAAACTTAATCTCAAGCGCTAGAAACAGTTGGTCTCTACAGGCTTCAATCCACAACAACCATGCTTCAGCTGTGAAAGACCGTATTAAGCTATCAACTTACATAGGGATAGATGATTATCCATGCTGTCCCGACTAACACGATAACAGTATCTGGGTGGGTAGTACAGCAAAAGTATTTCCCAGCGCAGTCCACTGGTCAAATCTGACTCCTGTTATTATCCATGACAGAAAGAGTTCTCAACATTCCTCCGAAAAACAGCCTGGAAAAATTGATTTCCAGTGTTTCGCTCCTTTATCCAAAAACACATTAGTTTCACATTCATGTGCAATCAACTGCCTAGACAACTTGGAGCCAAGGCCTAACAACATCCACCTCCCCCGAAACGAACGTCCCTGATCAGTTTTGTAGATTTTCAATTTAGAGTTTGAACAGTAGGTTTAACTGATGGCTCGGTGTCTAGCGCGCGAATATACTGAACGAAAGGTTCGCGGTTCGAACCCGACCTCCGCATCTCGACTTGAGCAACCTGGCAGTATCTCAGCCTTTGTATTCCTTTTATGTGGCATGGCAACTAGGTACCGAAAGGGTGTTATTGCTGAACGATTATCTTTCTTTAACTGATGATGAAGCACCAGATCAGCGGTTTGCATGCAAAAGCGAGTCGATGACCATAAATATTCGGTCATCCAAATCCAAGACGGATCCGATATAGCTGGACACCATGGCGAGTTTGGTTAATGACTTTCGACAATGCCCAATGTTTCCAAGGCTGTAATTCGGCGTGCAAGCGATAACAATCCCGTCCTCAAACAAAAGATGCAATCTACTTGTAATGACCTTTGGGCACCGTAGTTTCCATTACTCAGAGGTTCAACGGACAAACTCAATGTGTTCTCCTTGAGGCCAACGGAGATCTGGTTGGTTTCATACGAATTATCACTGCATACGTAGAATTTTAGGCAGACCTCTAAGATTTACAAATCAGACGTTGGCTTAGATTCCACTAACTCAGCTCGAATAGGAAGCGAATTCTGATCAACATCGTGGTGTAAAATCCACGGGCCGAATAACTCAGTCGCAACTGGTGTGAGACCTAGAGGATTCGAACGGAAGGAAGTTTTGCTCCGACACATGTGTGAACATGCAGCGTTGCACTTGGAGCTGCCCATATCAATGTGTGAGGTGTTTCTTATTGGTACAAAGTATTTTTAAATTCTTGGCGAAACCCCGAAAACCAAAACAACCTGAAGCATTTATACGAAATCGTCGGTTCTGGGACCGATGAGGGCGTTGATTTTACACGTGGTAACTTGGATTCTACTGGGATACTTCGAATCTAATTACCTAGGTAGGTAGCTGCATAAGAACCAACTAGGAGGGGGAACATAATCGCACAGAATCGGGCTTCCCGATTAATTCGTTTGGAACATGTACCTCTCCCGGAGCTAATTGGGTTCTTCACAAATTACCTCGAGTTTGTCCAGCGTGGGAAGTTACATATTTTCCATTTTTAGTCATACCGTACTTTGCCCGATTCCGGCCCATAGCCCTGTACAAATTTTACCTTAACATCCGTACATCACGCCATGCTTTTCGCGAATGGCTGTTGGATCTATACTCTTAGTTATCGCACCCATTGTTCAAATTGAGAATTGGATTCAGACCTTTAGAATCCCTTCAATTTGTGTTGTTTACAGAGTCGCTTGGAGAACAGCTATGTTCCATCAGCATTCGCAGCGTAGTGTGTGTACAGAAGCGTCAGTGCTATCGATCGTCATATGAGCAAAACAAGGCCAGGTTTATAAAAATCTAGAACTGGATCACAGAAATCGAACACCACCATGCACAAAGAGAATGACGTCCCGTACCTATTTGACACTGAGGTTTTTAGTATGAAGCTGGCATAACTCGAACCACGCTACACTATATTTCATCTTAGTTAGCTACATAAGTCCGACCTTAATGGAGCTCACCAATGGTCTGGGTCAGAAGCCCATCCACTTAATATACTATGCAGCCCGTGCTTCTCTACCTCCCTACTTCAACTGGCAGTCAATCCATCGGTTATGCGTACCGATGGCCTTGGGGCTGACTATTGTTGCCTGTACGATTTAAACGCGTTAAAATGCCTCGTAGTCCATACAGCACTTTGCGCAAAATCGTATACGGTATTAGTTACCCCGGTTGGGACTTGGTGACCTGATGGGACAGGCAAGTCCTGAAACGGTTATCAATCGCCTGCTTCTCCTGCGACAAATGACTACATGTACGACCTATGAGTTGACATCACTCAGCTGCAGGGGCATAATCAGCTCCGCATTCCCAACCATCCCATGGCCGTCCCAATTCTCGAAAACTAGTTTTTGAAACGTGTGAAGTGCTCCCAGACATAGTTACGCTATGTGATCAGTTTACCAAGCTAGGTGCGTAGCAGATTTCAAAAAACGGTTGATATTCGGACATTGCAAGATGGCTGAAGTGGCTAGGGCGCGAATTTACTCACCGGAGGGTCCGTGGTTCAAACCCGACACCTGCCTCTCGACTTCCCCTGTCTAGGCTTGGGCAACCTGGCAATATTTCAGCCCTCGTGCTTCCTTCGGATGGCACGGCAGCTAGGCACCGAAAGGGTGATACAGCTGAGCGATTGTTATTATTAGTTATTCGGACATTGCAACCAAATAAAATGGCTGGCAAATCTAGCTTAATATTTGAATTATGACAGGCCGCAGACGGAACCTTGGAGTATTATTGCTGACTTGCTGGTTGTTCAAGTACCCATAATCACTAGATAGATTTTTTAATCAGCCGTCTGCCGAACACCTCGGTTTCGTACGTGCGGTCATATCCGAACGAATCACACATATGGACAAGCCACATGTCATAAAAAGCAACTGACATTTTACACGCTTAGTAACGACCAATTATGATAGGACTGACTTGAACAAGGTAGACTAACGATTGACACGCCTAGCGTCACATTTCGTCTGGAAGCCTACTAAAAATCTGTCAAACTGACAGCATGAATAAGTCTACTAGGGATCGGTCAAAACGCATGCAACTGTGCCGTGCCGGGATTAAACATTGCTACGTACTATCGAGAAGTAGTATGGTGACTGGTGAACTTAGTCCATTTACTTCAAAATGCCAATACGAGTTTCTTATCACACATCTACCGCAGTCCTCTAGGACAATCATACTTGGTGTTGAAACCACCGTTTAGTGCGTCCAGTAGTGGGATTCTGGACGCACAACGACATTTGGACGAATAAGCCTTATCAACGAATACATGGTGTCTAACCCCCTGATCTGCAAACGAAAGTTTATCACTGATTGTGTACCAACTGGTGCGAAATCAGCCTGATGAGAATTCGGGGACTGGGTCTCCTTGATGAAATATAAGAACGACGAAACTGGCACCGACCAGAGTTTCCATCGATCTGGTGAATAATGTTGACTCCCGATTTTGTCGAATCTGCTGACTTCGTTGTTGGTTTTGAAGTACGAGTGTCGAACCAAGCAGTTCTAGCTCAAGACGATGAAACCGAACTTTTGAACAACTCCAAAGGGAGGGGACTGGTTTCACCAATAAGACAGTAACGATACAAGCTTAGCCATCTAATTCATACTTAGGGTACAGACAAACACGCATTAACGTCATCCATGGTTGGATAAAAGCGCCTATTCTGGAAGAGGTGCGCTTCGGCCAAATAGACCATCTTTTACAGAAATTACTTTCTCCACATCGCAACGTGCAGAATACCCAACTATGGGGATTTATCAAAATTATCATGGAAACCGCGAAACAAAAAGCAATCACGAAATACTGAGTGATAGGGGGAGCGTTCTCGAGCGGGTCAAAGTTCTAGAACTCTGTATTGCCTGTGGCTACAGCTGTCTGACGAACTGTACGGCCAGCCCCGGTGGTTGGCTGGTTTGCCGCTGGCTCCGCGATGTCTCCGGCAGCTGTGCGTTGAGCAGCAATAGTCAACTCACGGAATCGTTTCATCACATCCACAAGCGCACGATCGCGTCGCAACACGGGATCCTGTGACCGCATAATTGGATGCCATCGCACATAATAGCCACTCCAAAACTGTAAGTGTACGAGCGAATGTTGCGGAAATATGATGCGATGACCAGAGACTTCGGCTGGCGTGTACATTGGATTCTGATAGCTTTTCAAGTCTGAATTCATATAAGACCAGAGAGAAACGGTTCGTTCACGAACACCATGATCCCGAGCTTGCATTTCACAGTTGAAGAGGAACGTTCCAAATCGTGCCGCGTAAACTTCGTCCATTATGGTGATAAGAAATCGTTCGTTAAATTCGAACGAATGAGGAAACTGTTGCGTCATTTGCCACACACAATCAATAAATTGAAGAAAGACTGGAGAACGCTCGTCCGCACTCGACGGTTTTGGACTGATAGAACTGCCGTTCGGAGGAAGAGGTGGCATACCGGCATTCGAGGGCATCACAACACCTCCGTCAGCGGGCCCACCGGTACGTTGGGCGAACTTATGTCCGAACGAGCACCATTCCTTCTCTATGAGTACTTCAAACCCACGCAGCGTTCGGTAGAATGGATCTAGCATGAGCATTGCCAGTGATGTAACTTGAGCCGTCCGATCCCATCCGTCAGAGCAGTGGACCAAGACAGAGGATTTGTGATTCTCGATCTGAAAACAGCAACAATGTGTTAGTAAGGGTGTAATCCACCTTACACACCGGCCTTAGGCTAACAAAAGATTTTTCAAACACAAGGCTTACTAACAAATGCGAGGAAACCTGACAGCGCTGGCACACGACAGTAAGTGGAAGACTTAAGCAACACGTCTAATTCTTGCGTAAAATAGATCAGGAACAATACTGTAAGATGAAGACACTATTAGCCCAAAACGGTTTCGTGGAGCGTTGTCAAGGCCAGTGTACTGTACGTCTACAGTGGTGGAAAAAGTGTAGTTCTGCATCGACGTGCCGTATGGATTCGGAAACTCCTAGTATCCAATTCCATCAGACTGTGTTTACAGGCACCTTCGACATACGCTCTAGCAAACAAATTGTCCACCTGTAGCAGAAGCTACTGTGACGCAAAAAAATGTAAACTTGGAGCATCTGATAGCGAAAGATTTAATGTAAGCTGAGAAGAGATTTCGTAAAAGTCGACGTTTAGAGCTAACGATCCGGGAGCAAAGACCTAGGAAAAACAGTACCCGAGATGGTAGGTTAGTGACAACGCTCAAAGCTGATCGGCATAGCTCAGAGACCGGGCAGCTGATGAGTTTAAAATATGCGAGTGCAGTTCGTATAAATGATGTGTGCAGATATGAACACGGCTGTTTCGCTGGGCACTATCGTAGGCATCGGGAGGAACGGTAATTTCACTCTCGCTTTGGTAGACAGGCTGTCTCTCTTCGGGGCTGACAAGCTAATCTAACATCAGTGAACTCGATAGCAAGAGAATATCGCAAATAATTGTAAGCTTCCAAAAGTGACTGAGTCTGTCTCGTGCTAGATACTTTTAAGGTGGGACAAGTTTCGGTTGTCACATCAAGCCAGCTTGCTCCAGCTGCTCCGGGGTCTGAATAACACCCGATAACGTTACCGAAATTTTGGTACCTGGTTTGTCACCGTTTTTACGACACCCTCATCAGAATCTTCATTAATATCCAACTTCGTGTTACTAGAAACGAATTAATAATTTAACGCTGACACAAAGCTGAAGTATATTGCAGTAGCATCCAGAAAGTAGTTCCTTTCGAAAGCCAGTTTCCATCTTAGGTTAAAAGTAGTCCACAGTACTTCGCTGCACCACTTCCAGACCCGCAGTAAATAGGTCAAGTAAATTCCACCTCGAATCGAGGTTACTCAACTGTATTGTCCTGAACCACTTGATCACCGATGTCTTTGCACTGGAGACTATAGCGTGATCGTAATGAAGCCTTGCTTGGGATCATCAGGAATACTCATTCCACGAACCACCAACAGGATTCAAGCCCGCAACCTCCCGATTAGTAGTTGTCGATAGTCAAAGTGCACTGCTCACGTGATTTACAGCTGACCAATGGTACGTATACTAACCAAGTGAAAACAAAATAAATGAATAATCTCCTCATGGACGGTAAAAATCCTAAATAGAGTCTCTTTCCGACAAGTCATCATTCGAGTGGTCGTGTGGTATGAATTCCACACTTGAAGGGTGACTGGTTTAAGTCCGGTTAATCGCACCACCGATCAGTTACTCAGAGCCGAATGGCATAGTATTCACCTACAAACAAAGGGGTCGCGGCTCCGAATATCTTTACAGGTTCGTTATAAGCCCACTGCCGGTGGTTGCCGAAAAGGATGCAACAGTTGTGCCGTGCTTCTTGGATTTTCAACATCGATTGACTTTAGTTGCGTGATGAAAACTATCGGAAGTATAGGACGATAAGCCAAAGGGACAGCAATGTGGGGGCTGAACTCTAGCTGGACGTTGTTCTATGCCATGTGACAATCGGACTTCGAAGTAGAATGCACTCAGTTAGTTTGACACGGTTTGAGATATTTCTAAACCATTGATTGGTTGGTATACTTTAAAAACTTATGTTGTTCAGAAGCGACGTATAATCCTTGAAAAGTAGTCTTCTGATGTATTTACCTACAGATATGGGATAGGTGGCCTTTCTTCGGAGGTGGAAGCAAAGTCAACTGAGCAACGAAATATGTATAAAAAGCCGATCAGACTAGTCCCCGACTACGGCAGAGTCCATTAAAGTGATGTCGCGACTGCATCCAAGTAAATAAGAATCTGAAAAAAATATATATGAGTCTGGTCCATAGGTCGAGGAGGTTGTAATTCACAATATGAGGTTAATATGTCTGTCTGTTCGTTCAGAGGCCACTCGATGTGATATCAGTTGAGTCGGGTTCATCCTGCTTATTAAGAAAGGAGGATGGTTGGGAGACAACCAGTGGATTTATCGCTCATTGACATTCAACAACAATTAGGTTGGCTAGGTGTAAAACTTGAGATGGTGGTTAATACACGAATTAACTGACCGGAGGGTCCGTGGTTCGAACCCTACCTCTGCCTTTCGAATTCCCCTGTCTAGGCTTCGACAACCTGGCAGTATCTCAGCCCTCGTGCTTCCTTGTGTGATACGGCAATTAGGCACCGAAAGGGCGTTACAACTGAACGACTATTGTTATTAGTATGTAGTAGTTAAGAAGCATCGATTGGTTCTCAATCGGCCTAGGTCAACATGCTAACTCATTCCGTTGACCTGACGAGGATTTAATGACAAAAGTGAAACGATGACCGGTAATAAACTAACTGAATGTCTATCAATTCTCCCTGAAATGAAGACACACACTTTGACAGCGAAGGAAAAGTTCCAGTAATGTCTGTGTATCCATACGTACGTATTTGCCAGCGGTAGTTATCAGCTCCGTTTACAAACCTGAATGAGATATTTCAAAGGCCACCTGGGTGGAAGTCAAGGTTAAGATAGGAGCCAAAACCCGAAGGCTCAGTGAATGAAAGCCATTGTGCAGTAAGGTCAGCGGCGAGTTGGATTCGAACAGTGATGAAAAGCATGATCTCACCTTGTCAGCCACACTGGTTGCCGCAAATATGATCTGTTTGATGTGATACAACCACTTGGAGTCTGCCAAAGCTTTGAACCAGTTGCCTTCCTTGGGCATCGGGTAACATGCCTCATACACATTGGTCAAAGAGGCCCGCATTGCGTGAATGTTTTGAATGTTGAGAAACACGTACTGCACATTCTCGTAGTAGGTGGGATTTTCCACGCCACCGCCACGACCCTTGTTGGCCACGGCATTCATCTATGAGGGGATTAAATGGGAAAGAGAGAGGTTAACTAGGTGTAACCGATTGTTCAAAAGCCCGCAAGTTCACGATTCCAACGGATCGCGCAAAAGCTTGCAACAGTTTTCGTCTCCGTGGAACGAAGCATTATCGGAAAAAAAGGGTATTCTATGGGACAGCTGAGACTTTGCTACAAATCCGACGAAGTCCTTGTCTGACTCCTCCACAACGGCCCTTGATACCACACTTACGTCTCCAATACATCTCCTACAATCAAACCAGGCTGCATACACAGATTACCCCAACTACCACCACGAGCCAGTCAATCACTGAAAATTGAAGCTGAAGTCTATTCTGGTTCTTAAAATGGTTCCTCGAAAAAGAAACATAGCTATGCAGATCTTCTGTCCCACTGACGGGTATTCACACATGGCTATCACGCCTGACGTTTAGTCTTTCAAAAACTACGGATCAGCGGGCTCTTCGCGACTTGATCTCACGAAGAGCAGCATTCGTTGGGACATGTGACGATCGCATTACAGAGTGAAAGCAATGAAGCTAGAGCATGGGACGAAGCGAGGCTGTCAATTGCCAGTCCTTTTCATCACTACACTAGACTGGATATTCGTGAGTTGTCATTTGTGGTTCTTGGAAAAGTTTAGCTGGTTTGGACAAGAACTTCCCATTCAAACGACTTGGGCAACTGATGCATCGCACAGCTGTGTCAGCTACGGTAGTATATGATGCAATACTACGGTGGCCTAGTACAATGTGACATACTATAGTACAATACGGTGTAGCACATAGTACAGTACAGTATAGTAGTACACCATAGTACAGTCGAAATGAACTGTTCCATCGCCGACTAACAAAAGTTGTTAAGAGGATCTGAAACAACGAAAGTTTCACTGTAGAAGTGCAGAACGTGCGCTATATGATTCTTGTAGGTCGTCCTCCCAATGGAGGAGATATTTTGGTGAACACCGACGGTGTCTTTTTGAGAGAGGGCTGTTGCACGCCGTTTATATCATGCGCCCCAGTGTGCCTTGCACTACAGTATTGATACGCTTCAATATGGTAATTATGACATACAAACAGTGTTTGACCCGTTCATTACATTCTGAATACCTCAGTTCAACTTCGACCAACAATTACCGAAATTGGAACTACCAGGTTGTGCGTTCCGTTTACTCATTGCCATCAGAGCTCTTGCCGTGTAATTTATACAAGATGAAACTTAACTACCTTGGAAAACTACCATAAAATTCAAAGACGTTTTAACTAGGGATGGCTTCTACTAGACGAGACGGCTGTGATTAGTGCGCAAATTTACTGATCGGAAGGTCTGTGGTTCAAACCCTACCTCGTCTAGGCTTCGGCGACCTGGCAGTATCCCAGCCCTCGTGCTTCCTCCGGATGGCATGGCAGCTAGACACCGAAAGGGTGTTATAGCTGAACGATTATCTTTGCTTCAAACTGCGCGGACAAACGTGTATTGGGTTACACTCATTTGCAAACTAGTTTGGTTTTCAAAGAGACTCACCTGAACCTCTCGTTTGTGATATATGGAGGTAATTATCTCCTGAATTCTACTCGAACGGTTGTCTGCTGCATCAACTGAGTGGAATTTAGCCTGCCAAAATCGAGTTCACAGGCGAATGCATTCCCACTATCAGACAGTGGATACATACGTGCTCACTTCAGTAAGCAAAAGTTTCACTCTGTAAGTACCTGTAACCTGTCAGCCGGCTGTGAGCAAGCCACTGGACTGATTGATTAGCCAATCATGTTTGTGATGTACATGCTGAGACCAACGCAGCTGCGAAACTCGGATGGACTAAAACCAGTAAGCTGAAAACTTTAATCCATCGACGACCCGGACAGCTTCGCGCGTTCAAGCTGAATAAGATCAACATAACATTGAACAATTCGCTCGAAGCTCAGATGTCACAACTGCCTTGCTTGTGAGACGTGTTCCACCGTTTAAGTTCACCATATTTAGTCTCGTTAGCTGTCTTCGTATTTGGTGACGATGGTAGTGTGACGGGGGTATGGTGTGGAGGTAGGAGGCAATGATTACTCAGTTTTTTAATAAATAGCCTTACCAATTGATGGAACGGAATGAACTTAGCTGTTGTTAGCTCTATTGAGATTTTCGGGTCGAACGGATGAACATTGGTTTTTTACTATTGTACAGATATAGTTTGCATTAAGGTGGTATGGGCACGCATGCGTGGCGTGTGGGCATGCACGCGTCACTCACTCTGACACAACTGATGCTTAGACAGAGTTACCCCAGCGGTCATTCGCATGATCAAAAGCCAACGAGATTACGATGACAGCAACAGTCCAGTTTGTTCTGCGTCACTAAACAAGGTAGTTTGGCCAATCAGTTGAAGGAGAGGGGAGTGTAAGTGAATTAAATGGAATTTACCAAAGCTTAGTCAGCTGACGAGTTGTGTGTTCAGTGTCTTGGTTTCTACTGACAGGATAGGGGCTTACTGCGTACAATAATGAAACGGTTGACAGTAACTCAAAAGTCAGGTATTCCGAAACAGCCATCTAGGAGCCACTCGGAGCTCTGTGGTTGGTTCTTTGAACGTGTTTCACAAAACTACTCACAGCTGTAAGGAACTGTTTCAGCAGCACACTGAAAAGGGTGCATTGAAAAGCTAGTCTCGCATCACAGTGGACCAAGAGTTGCACACATTTCAATGATACCAAAGGATGAAAAAGATTCATAGTGAGATCGCTGTCACAGTGTTGTGTACAATAAAGCTATGCAAATTGCTGTAGAGATAGGGATTAAAGCGTCCCGAACACCGAAAGGATGGTTTTGACGTGGAAAGAGAGGACATCAACTGAGCACATACGAGGAAAGCATATCTACTCTAGGCGTCGGTGTAGAAATTTATATTCAGATATAGGAAGAATGAAAAAACAAGGCACAGAGAGATTGGTGAGTTTCGCGAAGTATCCCAATGACAAAAGCCAACCATGACCAAAATGATATATATAATGCCAATGAAACTGCCCTACAAAGTCTTTATCTTGCAAAAAGAACAGTAGAAACAAGATGCTCAAAGACGAAGTAATCCTGATATTCTTTAGGTGGTTAGAAAACTGACACCTGCCGCAACAGGCAAGTACAAATTCCTAAGATACGCCTTGATATAATGAATCTTCCCCGTAAATATCGCAAGTGATCACAATGTTTCGGAGGTGGCTCTGGAATGTTGACAAGATGGCTATTCAAAAATACACGTATACTTATATTCGTCGTTAAAGTTCGCATATTTCAACACCAGTTAATATACTTGCCTACAAATAGCATTTCCGTTAACCATTCAATAAACCATGGATACCGAATTCAAGTTTCAACTAATTTCACTCGATTTTATAATAGACCACGTAAAAAAAGGCTAACGAGGCTGTGTCACGACGCAGGAATCTATGAGTGATAACACAGCCAACCCGACAACGCTAGTGTGTAGTTCAATCCCATAGGCTGCCGGAATTTACGACGCGTGACCGGGAAGATCGTCAGCGAATAGAAAAATCCTCAAATTACTTCGAAATTAGCGAAATTTTATTTCATCGGAACATGGGACAGTTTGACCTTGACCCTAATGGAGTGGGAGCAAGTAGAAAATTTTTTTGAACAATGTGTGGAGAAAAGTATCAGTGTAACTGTGATGCTACTGATGGGGGACATGCGAGTAGTATGTTTTCTCGTAAATCCGCTTTGCGTATCTTGAAAAGTGAGACCTGTTACGGAATTTGTGGAGTCGCTCTGTAGCATTTGCTGGCAATTGAGTAGCAGTCAATGAATACCCAGAAAAGTTCAGGAAGACGCGTTCAAGGAGAATATGAATATTCATTTTTGTAAACAAGATGCATATGAGAGTTTTGCTCCCCTGTCCAATAGTCTGTAACTGTTCAGTTAACATTTTCAAATAAATAACCCCGCAGCGAAGGCCTTCTTCCTTTTGACGTACAGAAGGAAAGTGAACATGATGATTAGGCAGTAAACTTTCGTAATGCAAGCGGAGCGCCCTTCTTGCCAGAAAACGCTTTGAACTTAAGCATAATTTAGTGTCTGAAAGTTCGATATAGTGCTTCATCCCGTTTCCCGGACCTATACTGGTCGGCTGAAAGGGACCATTTTAGTAAACCAATGTGTACACAATGAACATTGTATTGCATGCTTATTCGTTTAAATTTTGTCGTTCATCGTAATGACCCCAAATGGATTTATCCCACAGCCACATTTGATTGCCAATCAAATGGCATGTATGGGGTGATTCTGAATGACTAAAAGCAGAGGATGATGCGAAAATCGCATACGCATTTTGAAAGAAATCGACTAACTCCGAAAGTCGCCTTCCTTCTGACAGAATGCGTCTAATCGATCCCTACGAGCATGAACTGAAGTATGTTGAGCTCAGTCGTAAACGTATCTTATTCGCGAGACGGGTCAAGTGGTTAGAGCACGAATTTACTGACCGGAAGGTCCGTGGTTCGAACCCGACCCTCGCCTCTCGACTTCCCCTGTCTAGGCTTGGGCAACCTGGCAGTATCCAGCCCTCGTACTTACTTCTGGTAGCATGGCAGCTAGGCACCGAAGGGGTGTTACAGCTGAACGAGTTATTTTATTTTTTTTCACTTGTTCGCGTCAGTAATGTCGCATTCCATGGTAGTGTGAGATTTTGCAATATCCAATTGAGATTCCATCTTGCCAGGGAAAGCAATCTATGCTGAGAAGCCGTGTGCAGATGTATCATCCTTATTTGCAATCCCCAGCAGTGCAAATCTCACGAGTTTTGACCCCGCAACATGTCTAAGTGAGACAGCTATTGAAACTGCTAATCAGCTACTCGTGACCAAAAGGCTAATTGTTCGACCGCTGGCCAGAAGCTTTCCGAATTTAGTGAGATGCTCATTGTTGATTGTGCAAAACAAGGATGAAACAGCTGTACAGTTCTTGGTTTTGTAAGCATAATTTGGCTTCGCTGATAAGTGTAATTCATATTCCCCATGATGAGTAGCGGTTAAGTATGATATATTCAATAGAAACTTCATCCCAAGATGTCGGGGTGTTTAAGCGGCGTGTTTGATTAAAATTTGACCGTGAGCGCCACATATTCGACAGGACGGTTCATAAAAGAATACCCGAAAATGAGTAATTCGGTAACAATAACCTGAGACTCCATCCGCAGATTATCACAAACATCGTCATCATCATCTTTGGAATGAAATGTGTAAGACAGTTAAGTTAATCAACTCAATAAAGTTGTCATGATTAACCTTGTTTGTTTGTACGGCCCAGAAACTAGTTTTATAGAGATATGATCAAAATCAACAGGATAGATAACACAAGAGTGACCATAGCTCCAGCTCAATGAAATCGAGTCATGAGAAAGCTGCAGTGTTGTACTAAGATGAACCGCAAGTGGAGGCTATTGTCCGAGATTTACCTGCTACATCAGCTTAACAGACTCTCAAACATGTTGGTTAATGTTACGCGCCACCCTGCACTAAGCAGTGGGTAGAAAGGACACTGTGTGGAACAGCTGGAGAGCAGTTTACCGATTTAAACCCCGGGTTATAGGACCAGGCGATAAAGGCAGATGACATTTCTAAAAGCCAAGGACATTCATAACTGACAGACCTTGATTACCAAGACAAAGACTTAACACCCGGAGAGCAAAGCGTACATATCGCTCTAGTGATCCACACAATTCGCGACTCACAGAAAGTTTAAACTTACTTACTGTTACTTAGTATAGTCTGCTCTACGACAGCCCCGAAACTAATCCTAACAGTATCACAGGCATCCTTTAATGAGGTTTATTTTTAAACGTATGCGGAGTAGCACACTGCATTCAAAATGCTATTGGCTGAACATGGTCTTATCAACCGATTAGTGTCTATCGAAATTTCTGCTTGTAGTCACAAAAAGCCATTGATTCCGAAGAAATGTGGATGCTAAGGATATTTCTGAGGTCGAACAGTCACAATTCTGGATACACTACCAGATAATATCTCTCAGTTTACCTCAGGCAGAAAACCATTACTACTGTGAACCTGTAGCTCGTAAGGAAGTTGGGAATTGGGATACTGGGAATAGGACTGGACTGTTTGTCTTGGGATTCTAGTGTTCGAAAAACGAGAAGACTGGGCCGTGGCGCGCAACCTACCCAGATGGGGGTACAGAGTGCTAATAACGGTACCCTGCGCAGAAGTTATTGAGCCCACGACCCCACGACCGCTCAACGAGCCAATAGCCAATAGCCTGTATATAATGAGTATCATTTCAGCAATGTCAACAAGTCGACTGAGCAGTTTTTCAGTTTTCTCATGGTTTTACTGTGAGAAAAGAATGTAGAAAAGCAAAGGTCACTTCCACCTCATCGAATGAAGGTCCATTGTATCATGTGAAAAACCTCAAGTTTGATAACCAAAGGTTTCAAGTCCACACAGAGAGTTAAGCAACTCCGTACACATGTTGGTTATACTAGCTGCGTGCAGTAGGGATCAGATTCTCACGTACTGTAACAGGATAGCCCACTTCGCACTGAACAGATTCGTTCCAGCATAAGCACCCTTTTCGGGGGCCGTCATTTGTCGTCAATCAAACTTTTCCATTAATGAACCACAGAATGTCGCCTCACTGAGCAGCGGGCATGGTGAGGTTTTTATTTTCTTGACTATAAGTTCATTAACAAGTATACTGCTCTAACAGCTTGACCTATTACCTTGTCAAAATTTCGCAACCCGTTATTGTTTTTTGTTGAAAAATGATATCGAAGACTAAATACCCTCTTGGCTCATTACTCAAACTCCAGAAGGAGAACTGAGGCATCCAGGTGTGATTAACTGATTGTACAGTGCTCGTGTCAGGAACTGAGTGCGTGAAGGATCAAAGCGAATGTGAAAAAATGACCCGCAACAATCCAACGTAAAAAAAGACAAAATAAAGATCACTCGTAAACAACGAGTTGTACTCAGAACCTTTACGGCACTCATCCATATTCGGTAGATTGACCAAGAGAGTAAACGGCTATCGGTTGATAAACGATAAACAACGAATTTTGTGTTTCAGCAGAATCAACATTTTTCACGTAGTGCGCAGATCGACCAGGAATCGAACACATCTGTCTCTTCCATTGGGCCACACACACTCGAATTTTGTAACCCTTAGGGCCTGTTCGAATTATCATCATCCTAAGCACAACATTAGTGTTCAACACTGTCGTTTCGCAGCAGCTGCACTCCTAGTGTCAATATTATATCAACTTGTTGGTGGAAGGTAGCGTCTACAACGCGGCAGCATTGCTTACGGTTGTGAAGTTTGGCCATTGTGTGCTGACTGCTCGTATACCTTCGAAGAGCTGCATTCACGAAAACATTGGATCGACAATGCTGAACCGGGACTAACGATTTTCGGAAGCAAATCAGCTGCACGTCCATTTGATGAGTTGACTCAGCTACATCAACTACGCTGTGTAGTCATTCGCTTCGTATGACAGGTGGTCAATCGCCCACCATGCCCTGTTTGCTGAAGTAGGTCCTGTCTATAAGATATCGCAAAATTGATAACGTACGACCAGGAGACAGAACATGAAACACACCACACCTTGACTGTGCTATTGAACGTCACCTACGAGGTTACTAATAAATAATCGTAATAATCGTTCAGCATTAGCACCCTTTCGGTGCCTGGCTGCCAAATCACCCGAAGGGCATACGAGGAATGGGATATTGCCTGGTTGCCCAAGCCTAGACAGGAGCAGTCGAGATGCTGAGGTTGAGTTCGAATCACGGACCTTCCGGTCCTAACCTCTGAGCTGTCTCGGTTAGGGCATCAAAAGCACATCACTCCGATGGTTTGGGGAAGCAACAATCGTACGGTCACAGTGGTAGTTGTAATGACTGGGCGTCGAGATGGCTTAGCGGTTAAGGCGCCAGCCTACGGACCGAAAAGTCCGTGGTCCAAACCGGACCTCAGCATCTCGACTGTCTAGGCTTGAGCAACCTGGCAGTATCCCACCCCTTATGCATCCCTCTATTGTCATGACAGCTAGGCGCCGAAATGGTGTTACAATTGAACGAGAGTTGTGACGATTGTCTTATTCCTAGTCAGTAACGCACTATCCTTTCAGTGCTTTTAATGGTTAACCTGCACCCGCTATCTCCCCTTTAGTTTTCACCACCTGTGGTAATGAAAAAAACTGTACACGGTTCACATAGAGCAAAATGAACTAAAGCGAATAGTACTAAAGTGAATACACTAAAGTGCTGACTACTGCAGCCGTTGTTATCAGAAAGGTGGGAATGGATGCTGTAAACGATCAACGTGAGTGAGTGGTCGCAGTAGATGAGAGTGCTGCAGGTTATTACAGCGTAGCGTTAAGTCCGATGACTTGTGGTCCGAATTCTAGTGTACATTGTGAATTTAATAAATTGGTCAGGCAAAATGCTACTAAGGACTCGCGTTACCCAGTTGCAATAAGTATTACCGAAAATCCATCAGAAATTCTTACGGATGTACATGACAGATCGGGGCACCGATTTCGAATGTTACTCCGGTCTTAGCTCAGCTCAGCGAACTGACAAAAGTCACCGCTAAGGAAGTCTTCTTGACCAGAATTTCGTGTAAAAAGAGCACTGAGATCACGGCGCTCATACAATATTGATATACCACCTGAGAGAGATGGGAAGGTAATGAAAAGCATCCAAAACTCGACACTTTAAATACTATTGGTTGACGTGCAAACGAAGGCTAGTAGGCGAACAGCGAGTGTCCCTCCAACCAGAAAACTGAAAACCCCAAGCTTTGACAAACCGCTCTGCAAATCGAATCTCTCAACTGTAGACTGGAGATATCCCATCGAGCAAAAGTCCCAAGGCGCTGAAGAATCTTAAACTGTTGGAATATCCGTAAAACCAGTTTGCTCTGTCGGAAAAGTGAACCAGCCTCCAGATAACTGACAGGATAGTTAAAAAGAACTGACGGTACTGATCAGAGAACACCAGAGAATCTTCCACGAAGAAAGTTGGCCACTGTGGTTTTCAAGGTTAAATATGTGTATAACGGAATTACCTACCTGTGGTCTAGCGTCAAAAATGAGCAAATTGTTCGCATTCGCATTAGCCGTCCGAATAAGACGGACCAATTCTTCGTCAGCTGCGCTGCGACGTCCTTGCATCCCAACCTGTGGTTGACTGGCCCGTGTCAAACTTGCCTTGCTCTCAGGATGGAGCCAACTGAGAACGGGTACGCGACCTCGACTACGGTGTGGTGCGCAGGCCATGAGCAATTCATCTGTGACTTCCCACGGTACGGCAAGCAAGGCCGGATACGTATCCGATAAACGATAGTCCACATTAATCTGGGGCAAAAAGACACAAAGACGGTTGGAATTCGGTGGGGAAAAAAGATTTTAGCGTCATCGAAAACAAACCCGATCAATCTCAACTATCTTGAAACAGGACGAACTTCGGTTGTTAGCAGTAGTCACACATCACGATGCCTTTAAAATACTTAAACCGGTATGTACGGTCAACTAACAATGTGATATCGCACTACTATAAGTTTGCATCGGACAAATGAGGCATCCAAGACGAGGTAAAACGATATTTGTGGGTGTATCCCTAAACAGTTAATAGAGGGGCGTTCCCCAGCCAAGATCAGCTGGAAATAACCTATTCTTGGGATATAAGCCGTTGCTGGACTAGCCAACAAAACAATCAGGAATTACGGTAATACTGACTTCACCTAAAGCAGAAGCAAGAACTATATGTTTTGTTCTGTTCTGTTCCACTCAGTCAACTCAAATATGCTTTGTTAGCCGAGCAACTGGCACTGAGCGCCAACCAGATGACGAGATGTGGAACACCAAGTAGCGGCTCCGTTGTGGCTATACCGGTAGTGGGAAAGTATCCGGAGCGTCGTAACATCCAGAACGCAGTTCGCCAAGTAATCACACTGGAAGGTAAGTGAGTACAAAGCCGGCAGTTTAACTTAAAGATGCGCCTGTAGGTTTGAAGAAATCCCAAGAAATGATCAACAAAAATATAGATGAATTCAGTCAGCATGGCACAATTCCAGCATCATTCAGCGCCAGTATCCACTATTCAAATAAACTTTCTGAACCCATTAGCTAGAGGGAAGAAACGACTAGAATGAGCCATATGTGACCCAGCAGGCAAGTCTAAATTCCTAGTCAGTAACGCACTATCCTTTCAGTGCTTTTAATGGTTAACCTGCACCCGCTATCTCCCCTTTAGTTTTCACCACCTGTGGTAATGAAAAAAACTGTACACGGTTCACATAGAGCAAAATGAACTAAAGCGAATAGTACTAAAGTGAATACACTAAAGTGCTGACTACTGCAGCCGTTGTTATCAGAAAGGTGGGAATGGATGCTGTAAACGATTAACGTGAGTGGTTGCAGTAGATGAGAGTGCTGCAGGTTATTACAGCGTAGCGTTAAGTCCGATGACTTGTGGTCCGAATTCTAGTGTACATTGTGAATTTAATAAATTGGTCAGGCAAAATGCTACTAAGGACTCGCGTTACCCAGTTGCAATAAGTATTACCGAAAATCCATCAGAAATTCTTACGGATGTACATGACAGATCGGGGCACCGATTTCGAATGTTACTCCGGTCTTAGCTCAGCTCAGCGAACTGACAAAAGTCACCGCTAAGGAAGTCTTCTTGACCAGAATTTCGTGTAAAAAGAGCACTGAGATCACGGCGCTCATACAATATTGATATACCACCTGAGAGAGATGGGAAGGTAATGAAAAGCATCCAAAACTCGACACTTTAAATACTATTGGTTGACGTGCAAACGAAGGCTAGTAGGCGAACAGCGAGTGTCCCTCCAACCAGAAAACTGAAAACCCCAAGCTTTGACAAACCGCTCTGCAAATCGAATCTCTCAACTGTAGACTGGAGATATCCCATCGAGCAAAAGTCCCAAGGCGCTGAAGAATCTTAAACTGTTGGAATATCCGTAAAACCAGTTTGCTCTGTCGGAAAAGTGAACCAGCCTCCAGATAACTGACAGGATAGTTAAAAAGAACTGACGGTACTGATCAGAGAACACCAGAGAATCTTCCACGAAGAAAGTTGGCCACTGTGGTTTTCAAGGTTAAATATGTGTATAACGGAATTACCTACCTGTGGTCTAGCGTCAAAAATGAGCAAATTGTTCGCATTCGCATTAGCCGTCCGAATAAGACGGACCAATTCTTCGTCAGCTGCGCTGCGACGTCCTTGCATCCCAACCTGTGGTTGACTGGCCCGTGTCAAACTTGCCTTGCTCTCAGGATGGAGCCAACTGAGAACGGGTACGCGACCTCGACTACGGTGTGGTGCGCAGGCCATGAGCAATTCATCTGTGACTTCCCACGGTACGGCAAGCAAGGCCGGATACGTATCCGATAAACGATAGTCCACATTAATCTGGGGCAAAAAGACACAAAGACGGTTGGAATTCGGTGGGGAAAAAAGATTTTAGCGTCATCGAAAACAAACCCGATCAATCTCAACTATCTTGAAACAGGACGAACTTCGGTTGTTAGCAGTAGTCACACATCACGATGCCTTTAAAATACTTAAACCGGTATGTACGGTCAACTAACAATGTGATATCGCACTACTATAAGTTTGCATCGGACAAATGAGGCATCCAAGACGAGGTAAAACGATATTTGTGGGTGTATCCCTAAACAGTTAATAGAGGGGCGTTCCCCAGCCAAGATCAGCTGGAAATAACCTATTCTTGGGATATAAGCCGTTGCTGGACTAGCCAACAAAACAATCAGGAATTACGGTAATACTGACTTCACCTAAAGCAGAAGCAAGAACTATATGTTTTGTTCTGTTCTGTTCCACTCAGTCAACTCAAATATGCTTTGTTAGCCGAGCAACTGGCACTGAGCGCCAACCAGATGACGAGATGTGGAACACCAAGTAGCGGCTCCGTTGTGGCTATACCGGTAGTGGGAAAGTATCCGGAGCGTCGTAACATCCAGAACGCAGTTCGCCAAGTAATCACACTGGAAGGTAAGTGAGTACAAAGCCGGCAGTTTAACTTAAAGATGCGCCTGTAGGTTTGAAGAAATCCCAAGAAATGATCAACAAAAATATAGATGAATTCAGTCAGCATGGCACAATTCCAGCATCATTCAGCGCCAGTATCCACTATTCAAATAAACTTTCTGAACCCATTAGCTAGAGGGAAGAAACGACTAGAATGAGCCATATGTGACCCAGCAGGCAAGTCTAAATATATAAACTGGAATTCCTCCCCCCCCCCAAAGATAATCGTTCAGATGTAACACCCTTTCGGTGTCTAGCTGTTATGCCGCCCGCAGGAAGCCGGGAAGGGCTGGGATACTGCCAGGTTCCTCAAGCCTATACCGGATTGGTCGAGATGCATAGATCGAACTACGGACCTTCTGGTCAGTAAATTCGCGCTCTAACCATTGAACCATCTCGCCCACCCCCACCCCCCGAGTAAAAAGCCCCAGAATTGCCTACTTCTCTGCAGAAGGGAATTTCTCGCACAAGAGGGCACTTTTGGTCGGTAATCGATGTAGTTGTGGTACACAGCTTGTTGTTCCGACAAACTCACCTTTGTTAGTTTCCATCCATTTGTAAATATGTTCTGCCGGTGATATTCCTCTTCCGGCGTGTACACTTCCCATCCATTAAAAGGAAACACATTCTCTGCAATACACCGCTCGCCAAAAGTATAGGCGAAAAGTGGTTGTTTTGATATGCTGGGAAATGCATATGCCTTCAGCTTTTCATAGAATGTTGTGGCACGCGCGAAGTCCTTCAAGATTCAAGTACTACGGTTATTTTATTCAAGCAAAACGCACTGTTAACAGCAGTTTGACATTCCGCAAATCTTTACAGACAATATAGAGTCCAATTCCCTTGGAAGCTGCTTGCACTGTGTGTTTTTGCTCAATGCTCTGGATGACACCGAGAGGCACTTGCAACACAAATAATTTGTGTGTCAGTCCGACGAATGCCGGGAGAGTGTGATAATAACTGGCGTCGCCATGTTTCAGCTGATGAGAAAATATGAACCGGTAGTTGGTTAACTGAAATCGCAGAATGTGATTAGGGTGATGTGTAAGTTACCTCTACATTTCCAGGAAGCAAACAGTCCGGGGGACGAATGAATGTGCAAGCACAGCTCTCGACACTTTGCTCTCCTGGTAACTTGTTGTATTTTGGGGCTGAAGTACAAACAGCATCCGCGGACATTTCACCGCTTCATTCGGTGGCAGTTGAAAGAACAAGGGAGCTGCAGAAATTCCTAAGGACAATCGTGGTTAACCTATCAAAAAAGGAAAGGAAACAAGCGTAAGATAGAATATTGAGTGACAACATCAAATTAATAAATCCTTTGTTTTTTCTTGAACGGTAGCTATCCACGCTAAGCCATGAGTCCCTAAATATCTAGTGTTGAAATCGCTGTCACAAGGAACATTCCTGAAGTATAGTGGACACTCAATTTTTTTCCAGCCTCAATGAAGAAATAAGGAAGTAAATGATTGCAGCTTGGAGATTACGACAGTTGGGTAGTTGAGTGGATAGGTTCTGACCCGAAAATCTGTTTCGACTGCTCACATCTGCACCCGGGCGATCTGATAATATCTCAGCTTGTGTTTCATCTAGACCATTCGCACAGGAAGAGTGAGCCCATTAGTTCAACATTATGAATTATGTCATCATGACGTGTTCTACTCGGTTCGCAATGAATTAATCAAAAAGATATCCGGTTGCCACCAAATCAGGCTAGAGAACATGGAAAACGCCAGAGACAGCATGCTGTTCAGAATCACAAAGAAATGTCATAGAGTACACCTTTACAGGCGTGTCAGTGCAAAGTTCAGACACAGCGAGCGGAATTCGGACTTTTAGCCTAGAACTACACAAGCTTCACCACCATAAGCACGGACGGGTGGTGAGCATTCAGCATCAAGTCGAAAGTGCACACATAAGGAAAGAGCTGAGCACCTAAGCCTCATCGGTTATTACCAGTTTAGTGCTTTTGGTGGTAATGAGGATGGTGAATAAAGAAAGCCACTCAACTTTGTCTCGGAAGCACGACCTCTGCAAGCAGATGACAGCTGAATGCCATCGGGGAATGCTCAAAGTCCCCTACTCACTGAGGGCACAGTCAAGACTCATCCCGTACCTTTCACCTATACGATCCATCAAGAAGAGACTAGAACTCACCGTAGTGACAGCCTCTGTGCATTTACAACGCACTGAGCTACGCTGAGTGAGCTACATGACACTCATAACAGGTTGGTCAATAGTTGGAGGTCTGACCAGCAAAGTCTCCTGGTCCTCCAGGTTTAATGTTAGGTGTGTGGCGAATCCTTCTGAAAAATGTAATACACTGGCATTTAACGCCGGAAAACGCTGTCTTAGGGGCAGACCTTTGACGCAAAGGCTTCCATTGAGCACACTAATCGTCCTTTTGTATAGATCTGGGCACCCTGGAAGTATCACAGACAATGTACTACCAAGAATTGCACAAAAAACAGTTTCGCGTCACATCAGCTGTCCTGTGGTGCCACCAGCCTGGTCGTCTTACTTGTTGTATATAAGATGGGGGCGCGAAAACGGGCTACTACTGAAGCATACTTATTTTCCTTTCGCAAACTTTCAGTTTCCTCTCCCCACACCCTATTAAGAACACTTTCCTTATGGACCCATCCATTAGGACTGACGGATGCGATTTTTGTACCGGTCTTGGTCACAACTGCGCGTCAGCCGGTGCCGACAGCCTCAAACATCTTGAGACCAACATCCAAGCCTCGACACTTGGTCTATCTGGCTGTTTGTATTACTCGCACTCTGAAACACGTGGGACAACTGCTCGTGCTCTCACACTGGACTTGTTTGACATTGATAAGTGCTGTACGTCAGAAACAAGGAAAGGAAATTCAACAATAGCCTTGATCCAATTTCCCCAACACTCAGCTCGATTGTGACTGCGCACCCCCTAGAGGTCCACAGGTCCTTCCGGCAGTATGTGAAAGGATCGGCATGGCCCTGAGTCACAGGACAGGAGGGCTATTACTCCAGTGGATGCCTCTGTGTCGATCGTATGCATTCACACTCATATCGCACAGAACAGTCTGGATTGACCTCCAGACTGCCTCGTAATACGATTTCTCACATCACCATCATCATCATAGACAGCATAACATCAGTGTTCAACCCGATGCTTCAGACAGCATAACATCAGTGTTCAACACCGATGCTTCACTGTCGTACTCTCGCAGTAGGATGAATTGCGATTCCTCGTTGGTCTTCGGGGTATGATTGAACATTAGGAAACTGGGTTCAGCCAGGGTACCCCGCAAGGTGATTCCACCACTGAAGTCCAACGATCACGATAAGACTACAGCTTTACGTTGGGGCGTAACCGTTATGGAGATAGTTGGATTACGTGGCAATCAGTCATCAATGGAAGGTCTCAAATGAAAATTGATGTTCCTTCGTGGTCAGCAAATTGACTCCGATCAGGACATTGTGCAGGCTCGGTTAGCACTCCACTTTCTATCAGCAGCACGCATGCCGTTCAACAACTTCGGCGGGTTCTAGTAGCTCAACAGTGTTCAAATGAATAGGCTTGGAAGATACTGGAAAGGCACAGTTATACTGATGGGAGCGAGACGGCCCAAGTGGTTAGTGCGCGAATTTACTAGCCGTAAGGTCCACGGTTCGAGACCGACCTTTGCCTCTCGACTTCCCCTGTCTAAGCTTGAGCAACCTGGCAGTATCCCAGCCCTCGTGCTTCCTTCTGGTGGCATGGCGGTTAGGCACCGAAAGAAGCTACAGCTGAACAATTGGATTAATTAGCATTGGGGAAAGGATTGTCCCAGACAACCGGAGGGAGTCGGTGACAGTGCCCATTTTTAAAAAAGGGCTCGTATTGAGTGTGGTAGCCACAGAAGGATCAGGTTAACCCCGGTTATAACGAGACTCTTGGCGTCACTTTTGCTTCATCGTTTTATGGTGGCTTGTGAAACATTGACTCGAGATCAGCAAGCGTCATTTCGGCCTGGTAGGGGTTGCGTTGACCAAATCTTCACACTTCGTCAGGTGCTAGAACAACGCCATACGTATAAGCGACCCATAATTCTAGTGTTTCTGGATTTTCAGGGCGCTTTTGACGGTCTTGACATGCATTCCCATAAAGGAATGCCCCAGAAGTTCGTGAACATAATAAGCTCTTTGCATTCCAAGACTTTCGGAAGTGTGAGAGTGTACAGAGCTTTCCAAAAGCTTCGTACACAAAGTAGTGTTCATCAGGGATACCCACTCTCCCCATTCCTGTTTGACTTTGTGATCGATGAAATCATGAGACGAACGCTGGAAGGTCTCCAAAGCCCCGGTGCTCAAATAGCCTGTGACGAAAACCTTGTTGACCTGGAATACACAGACAACATCGTTCTCATCTTCAAAGAGGAAGAGAAGGCACAAATATTCTTGGATGAGGTAACCAAAGTCATGCTTTCCTTTAGTATCCACTTTGCACCCGCAAAGTGTAAGGTCATGCTCCTGGACATGCAGTCACTGAACACGCCGCTTACAATCTAGGGGGAAGCACTCGAATTCGTGGAGCATTTTACGTATCTTGGAAGTTTTATCAGTTCTGACTGTAGTGTGATAACTGAGGTTGACGCACGCTTGCTAATTTGGGATCCCTATGGTGTCAAAGCGGTACATACCTGAATCTCTAGGGACGTGTATCAGGCTAAAGTAGGGACTGCTTTGTCACATGGCGGTGAGACTTGGCCTGTTCGAGCAGCAAAACTGAGATTTGCTCAGGTCGTCAATAACCGTTGTCTCAGAACCATTGCTGATGTAAGTTGGTGTCAATGAATACGTAACGAATCAATTAAAAGGCGTGTTCGGCTGTGCTACGGGGACCATCATTGAAGAATGTGTCCAGGACCAGAAGCTGAGTCGGTTATCCCATGTACTGCGTATGCCGAACCACCACTTGCCGAAGAGTGCTTCTTCTAGTGTCTCATTAAAAGTGCAGGAGGCAGAGAGGTGGCTAACCCTTGACCCGGCAGAGGGGTATGAAGGAGATTACGAAACGTTTGGGTACTGTCGGTGTTGATCACCTTCCAGGACGGGGATCGCGTGATCCCAACTGCACCTGGTTGGAGAAGCTGCAAGATATGGCTGCTAATCGATGTCAATGACGTTCAGCTTGGGTGCTCGACAGAAGGGCTGGGATACTGCCAAGTTGCCCAAGCCTCTGTAGAGGAAGTCGACAGGCAGAAGTCGAGTTCGAACCACGGATCTTCCGGGCAGTAAATTCGCCCTATAACCAACGGACCATCTCGCCATCTCTCGTAGAATGGCAACTATGTACCGAAAGTTACAGCTGAATGATTTCTTATTTCATAAAAGGCACAAGAACGCCACGCGAAAACCATCGTGGCACCGGCCTGATGGTCATGGCATCCATAGTGCTCTCTGACATTGGTTTGGGCAGGTTGGCCAAAATCTGAATACACTAGTAGGAATGAATCTGGCTGTCACCCTTGATGGAGACCACATCTCTACCCTGATACAAGTTCTCGAACAGCGCCACTCTTTTAGAGGTCCCACGTTGGTCGTTTTTTATTTTTAGGCAGCGTTTGAATCTGTCGATCGTCCAAAACTAAGATTGTCCCATATGAGGGTACTGTACGCAAACTTCTGTGGGATGACCGCAAACATTCGCCTGAGTGCGCAGTCTGGTGACGTACGAAAAGGTTTTTCTCCCGACATTCCTCCGCAGCTTGGTTATTGATGGCCCGCCTGAAACTCCTCCCCTTGCTTCTGAGACCTTGAGGATCGAAATGCTCCCAGACACTGAGCATACGGTCGTTCATCTGTAGCACCCTTTCGGTGTCTAACTGTCGTACCACCAGCATGAAGCACGAGGGCTGGTATACTGCCAGGTTGCCTAAGCCTACATGGGGGAAGTCGAGAGGTTGGGTTCGAACCACGGACCTTCCGGTCAGTAAATCCGCGCTCTAACCGCTGGACCATCTCTCCACCCGGAAAACGTTGCTCTCCTTATTTAAATGCAAACGATTTCAAATAGCCCAAACAAATTTACCGCATGTTTGGCATGCGCTTCACGCTTGTGGGGTGTAAGGCGCTGCTCTTATAAGGTGGAATTAAACCCAAACTCCATGCTTGCGGGCGAGCGAATCGATGTATTAGACGAATTGTTTACC